TTTACTTGCTGAAAATAGCCATATCTAAGTTAATCATACTCAGATGCCAAACAAAATATAAACAATAAAAAATGTGTCAGCCAAAAAGCTACAAGACTGTATCCAATCACTGAATAAGCCTTATCATTGTTTTCATCTTCATTCACAATTTATGAATGCCTCAGTCCTTTTGAATCACAATGGCTTCTAATTGTCATACAATTGAAATCTTAATCATTTGTCCATTATAAAAATTCATCAACGTGATATTGGATTTTTAAAAAAATTTTCACACACAAGACGAAGCGACACTTCTATAATTATTTGTTGTGCCAATATCAAAGGAAATGGTTATCAATTACCAATGATGCTACATTCTCCTAAAAACTAAAGCGCACTGTCCCACACCTTTAGAGGTTTAAAGGACTCCCTCAAGTAACAACTCTAGACTAAGATATTTAGTTAGTTCTTCAGTTGGTTAGTCAGCTGGTCAGTGATAAAAACTACCCCAGGTGAGTGTGTCCATCTCGCCACTTTTCTATTTTACCGTCTGATTTAAAGTTGTACAAATTCTGTTCCTTAAAGAAGTATAAAGCCAGGATTTTTTAAATATCATTGTTCCTAAAGTCTTGAGACAATTTTCAAAGTTAATTTTTTAATGACTTTACTTTTCCAGAATTACTTTCTGCCTTGAGAGCTACACCTAAATATCGTCAAACGAACAGGTCTGCACGAAATGAACATCTTCTAAAAGTCCTTAACTTTCGCCACGACCAACTAATTGGTGTCAAGGTAAAGACCACCTTTGTGGCGTGTTCACTGTAAACCTCTAAATGCAGATCACCTCACCGAAGACCAGCGTTTTAGATCCCCAAATTAAGCAAAGGAATGAGTCCCCGAACCACAACCTCTGACTGGCTTCGTCGCCGGCCACTGCCTGCAGCGAAGTCCAAAGGCGCCCGCAAGGACTCGTGCTTCAATCCCCTCATCCAAGTTCACTGGTTGTTTATAAGGGTTGAGTCCCCCACCTAAAGCTCCTCTAAAACCGAGCCTGCCTCAGGGCGCGCGTGAGCGACTGAGAGGGATGGTGGGCACCCCAGGCAGGGGCACCGCGACGCAGCAGGCACTCGGGGGGCCGCGCCGGGGCTAGCTCTCCTCGGCCCGGGTTCTACCCAAGGCCGGCCTTCCCGTCCGGCCCAGCCGCCCTGGCAGCACGCGGGCGCCCGCTCGGGGTGCCCAGAGCGCGGGGCTGAGCGCGCGCGGTGGCCGTGGGCTAGGGGCCGCGCACCGGCTCCCGCGCCTCCGAGTAAATCCCGACGCAAGTCCCGGCCACTTTTTCGAGAGACGAGGGTTGCGGAGGTTAACTAAAGCGTTTAATTGTCCGCAGCTGAGAGCAACAAAACAGAACAAAACAAAAGGCTTTTCGGGCTAGAGAGAAAGCTTGAGAGAGCGACCGAAACATGTACCTGAGTGAGACAGATGGGAGAATACATCATGACTTCGCCTTAAAACGCACTTTCCCGGAGATGCCCAAGAAAATCTTCGAGAAGCAAAAATTTCATCTATTCATTTTACAGTCATCTGAGCCCCGCGATGCGATCAATCAGGACGGGGTCTGCGCAGGATTACCGCAACTTCACAGCAAACCCAGTCCTCCTTAAATAGCCAAAGATTCAGGTTCACTCGGCGTGCTAGATTTCCCGGGGTGAAATCCAATCTACAGTTTTAGACCTCTTGCAGTTCCAGCGCGCCGGCGGTGCTCGCCGAGGCCGCCGCAGCCGCAGCCGCCGCCGCTGGTGTGGGTTGCTTTTCGCCCGGGTTTGGGGATTTGTTTTCTGTTTTGCAGTTGTTGATGTTGTTGGGAGCTAGGCAGTGCGCGAAGGTTCGATGCGGGTTGGATTGGGTGGTGGTTGGTGGTGAAATGCTTTTTTAAAAAAGGCGGGGAGGGGGGCGCGGGAGAGAGGGCGGGAGGAAGAGCGAAGAGAATGTGTCACCGCCCTAGGAAAGTTCAAGGTTACAGCCCCGAGCTATGCGGCAGGATCCCCGACTGGCGATCGCAGCGAAACTTTGCTGCGAGCCGACCATGTGTGTGCGCGAGAGGGAGCGTGAGCGAGTGCGCGCGGGTGGCGGGGCGCGCGCGGGAGAGGGCCGGGGTGGGGGCGGGGCGGGTGGAGGAGAAGGGAGAGGCCTGGGTGAGGGAGGGGACGTGAGCGCAGGTCTCCCGGGTGGAAGAGGCTCCCGGCGCGCCGTCCCCGGCTGCAGCTGCCGCCGCTTGCGCCGGCTCCTTCTCGCCCGCCCGCCCGGCCGCCTCTCCACACGTCTGACCCGACCGAGAAGGCTGCTGCTGCTGCCGCTGCCCAGAACCCAGGGGAATCAGAATAAGCTCCTGAAAAATCCCAAACGATAAATCCCGCTCTCCCGCTCGGCTCCAAACTCCTTTCTGCTCTGGGCTCTTTTCCCCCTTCCCTCTGTCGCTTTTTTTCCTTGCAAAACTTGTAAGTTGAAAAATTCACCGGTTCCACCCTCCGGACCCCGCTCGAGCTCTCTCCAAATCAGACTTAAGGATTGTTTTATTATTTAATTACACAATCATCGCTTTACTCCTCCTCCTGCAAATGCGCATTCCTTTTGCACCAGCCTCTCCACACCCCCCGCCCCCCACCTTCCTCCTCCTCTTGCTTCTCTCCCTCCCTCTTTTCTTCTCTCCCTTCTCATTTGTTAAAGGTTTCATATCAGTGCAACAGAACCATAAGTTGTTTTTTTTTTCTTTTTCAAAACTGATCTTTCGGCCCTTTACTCAAATCTCGTACCCTCACCACACAACACACACACTCGAAAACCCGCCCTGGAAGAGAAATTTCGGTGCTCGCTGCGGACTCTTTAAGCCGCGGGGACAGCCGAGTGGGAGAAACACTAAGCCGGTCTGGGCCCGCGAAAGGAACGAATGGAAAATTCCCTCACACCCTGGCCGCCCTGGGGCCCGGGCTGGGGCGCCGACTCTCACACCCCGGGCGGGCGCGGCTCGCCAAACCCGCCGGCTGAAAAGAGGAGGGGGAAGCTTGGAGGCGGGGGCCTGAGCGAACTTGGGCTCAAGTAGTTGGGGCGCGCCCGTGCGTATGGAGGCGGGGTCCGCCGGGGTCTCCCGCGCGGGGGCCCGCGCCCCGGGGCTGCTGCTCAGAAGCGGCGCGTAGCGCTTCGCCGAGGCTTGCCGCCCTCCCTGGGGTGCCCAGTGCACGTGGCCCAGCTCGGAGTGGGAAGGACCCAGCCGAGCCGCTGCTGACGCCGCCTCCCCCTTCTTTTCCTTCCCTCCCGCGGCCCGCTCCGCTCTCTTCCTCCTGCAGCCCCACTGGCTCGCTCCCAATCCCCACCCCCAAATCCCGGAGCCGGGGCGACGGCGGAAAGCGGCTCCCTCCGCGCCGGGGTGCAGGCTGGGCGGGGCCGCGGCGGCCCGGAGCTGCGGAGTGGACGGGCGAGCGGGCGCGCGGGCGCGCGCGCGGGGGGTGCGTGTGCCGCTACTGCCCTGCAGAGGCTGCCGCGCCCGCTTCGCTCCCGCGCGGAGGGCCTCGCCCCCACCCGGCCGCCGTCTGTCGGCCGCCCGCCGCAGACCCCAAGTGAATGAACTTGATTTCGGGTCTTTTGAGGGTGGAGGTCTGCCTTGCACTTTTTCTACCCGCGCACAACCTCCCCGGCGCTCACACAGACACGCGCACACCGCCCCCCAAATTCCGGTGTTCGGCGAAGGGTGGGTGGGGAAGAGGTGGAAGCTACTGCCGCTCAGACAATGGAGCGGAAAAGTGAGTGCCAGGGACTTCGCGGCGACCGCGCCGGGGGGCTGCCTGCGACGGCGGGGGCCGAGGGCCGGACTCGGCTGCCCAGCCCCAGGTCGGACCTCCGCCGCTTCCAACTCTGCCGTTGGGCTGTTTCGCGGTTCTCCCCTGGTGCCCCGTTCCTCTTACCCCGTCTCCCTCCATCTGGATTTTTTCCTCAACTTTCTCCCCTCTTGGTCTCACCGGCTTCTGCCCATCGTCCCCCCCTTCAACTCCCCTCGGCGGACCTGAAGGACCCGGTGACTTTTCCTTCACCGAGTGGGAGTTATCCACATCAAGCATTTCACAACGACACATCAAGAAAAGTAGGCAGGTTCAAGTCAACCATGAAATGGTCACTTTTTAACCCCGTCCTGTCCTCATTAGGGAAATGCTCAAACACAGTCCGTTTTCAAAGAGCGCTCTTAATGAGGCGAGCTTGCCAAGTCTACCAGCTGCAGCCCCCGTAAACCTCGAGTCCAAAGAAGAAAGGCGCTTGGGGGTGGGAATTCGAGGCCGGGGAGAGGGGGGCGGTGGGTCTGGGAAGACAGGTAAGGTCAGGGAAATTTCGAGAACTCCCGAGTTAACCCTTTAGGGCACACACCCCTGGGAGCAGCCTCCTGCCCCCCCCCCCCACGGCCAACCCTCCTGCTGGCGTTCTAACGACGCTAACTTCCTTTGTGGGGGCCATTTCTTCTTTTTGAAAAGCCAGGATAAACTTGACAGTCTTTATAGATGAAAGAAATGAGGTCACCAGCGGGGTTAATCCAAATAAATACTGATTTCTCCCTCTCGGAAAAATTGTAGGCACTCTCAGTTTAAATGTTAAAAAAAAAAAAAAATCCCAAGGCATCACTTCGTACTGTACATTACTGCTTTGCATTGCATCCCTTTTCTCACCGTCGAACCCGAACCTGGGCGGGGGAGGGGCGGGGAAGCTCTACTGATAATACCAGCTTTAACTACTAGAGTTTCCCTTTGAACAAATATTCAATTTAACTGGAGTTAATTTACCATAAAAGACATTCCCCTTGGCACAAATGCACTCATGTCCTTGAACACACCTCTTTGAATGCCTGGACTCACAGAAACCATTATTTTTCGGGGTCTCTTTAAAAAATCGAGTGCCCATCTCCCTTTCTCTCCCTCCCGTCTCCCCTCCCTCCTCGCCACACCACCCCCAGTGAGAATCCTGGCACCCAGAGAGCACTCCTTTCAGCCAGAGATCCCAGAACCAGCCGCTGTCCCCTGGCAAAAGAGGCCCAGTGCTGAGCCCTGGGCAAGTGTCTGCAGACATCGCCGCCCCTCCTCCCTGATTAGTTTCCCTTACCAACAGAAATCATTTCCTTTTGCCACCAAAACTAGGTTGCACCCAAAAGTTTCTCACAAGCTTAGAAAAGAGAAATGAAAATTGACAACCGTTACACAGAAGAGCTCACAAAAGCTGCAGCAGGAGGAAGGGTGAAGGAGCAGCGACAGACACAGGTAAGACCCCAGAGAAGTGAAGACAGTCTGGGGCCTCCCAGGCCTATCACTTTGGGGTTCAAATCTCTTTCAGGTGCTCTGTTTGTAGGGCGCTTATGGTTGGATACAGTTTCATGGGTACAGCGGATGCTTGGTAGTTTGGGGTTTTGATTTGTTTCCAAGAAAAAGCAAAATGAGAAAGGAGTAATTTTGATGTGGGGAAAACCAATATAGGGAGGAGGAATTAGCAAGAGACATCACCACAGAAGGGGTTATGGGGTGGGTGTTCCATTTATGTGGCTCTGACTGTCCTCTCAGGCCTTGGAGCCACAGGCAGGATGGCTGACACCCCCCACAACCCTGCTTCTTGTCCAGCCTATGCCAAGGTCACTGCAGGCCTTCCCAGGATGAACTCTAAGAGAGCCTTTGTAAAGACTGACTGGTGGATTTGCATGTGTGGGACATCTGGCTTCTCTCAGCACAGCACTAGTCCTCCACTATCTTTGGTTAGAGAAATACCAGTCTTTTAAGTCCCCAGAAGAGAAGAAAAAAGGAAGTAAGAAAGTATATACACTTTAGCCACTTTCCTTTTTTCCCAGTATGTCTGTGCCATGGTATTAAGAGTGATTTTAAAGTATTGCTGAAAAGCTTCTGATACTATAAAAATGGGCCAGGCACTTCTTGGACATTGGTACCTACCTCTCCTAAATTCTGCCCTTTCCCACACTGATACACTTAGAACAGCTGGTATGACAGCCAATTTCATTCACCCCAAAAGCTGGCTTAAGGAGCTAGAAAGGGAAAGTGTCCTGCAGCAACGGGAAAATCTGATATTTGAGAATTCCTAAAGATTTCCTCCCTAGAGCATCTATCACCTGCCTCCTTAGAGGAAAACAAAAGTTTCATTTCTGACAGATAGTTTACTGATTTTAAGAAGTAAAGCCAGTGCTTCAGATGACCAGATTTTTCAAAACTCAGTTGCATAATTATAAAAACTTAATCAACGTTTGCCCCATTGTAGCCTTTCGGTGACCTCCAGAGAGGAGTTTGACATCTCAAGTATCTCCTAATATTGATCTTCTTTTAACCTTTTCCCTTCTAAAGAAACTCAGTGACAGGTTGAAAATCCTAGGCAGTTTAGGAAAAAGTTTCTTGGAGCTTAACAAAGCTGTCATTTTCAATACATTGGATGACTTTTTTTTTTCTCTTGCATGTGATTTGAGGGGAGGCTCAATAATTCCACACACCCTGGCTTCATTGCCAATATCAATATTTTAAAACTAAATAAAAAAGACACAGATGACCTCCTGACCCCAGGAAACAGGCCTGCAAAACTGCAAGTATCCACCACACCATGCCCAGGGACCTTCCTTCTTCCAAATAAACCACAAAAAAGAATGTGTAGCTAGCCCGGAAAACACAGTTTTATATCCACAAGCAGGACACCAAAAAGCCTCTCAAAAACGCTTATATAAACAACCAACAAGTACTGAAATTGCCTGCACTTGATGGGAATTGCAAAATCATGCCCAGCTCTCTCAGCCCTTAAACTACTACTGTAAAGTGAGGGTAGCAATTTTTTCATACTGGAAAATTCACAACCTGTTAGGCTCCCCACCCCCACCCCTATCACCAGGGCTTTGCCTTTCATTGAAATGAATAAGTAACTATGGACTTTTTCCCCTCCTCAGGGAGCTGTTCCGTGTCCCCTGAGGACAAAACTAATGAGAAAAATGACGTTGTTAATAATGTCGTTGCTAAAATGCCTGTACTCGACTGTTAAAAAAAAAAAAAGTGTCCCACTTTGTGTGCCTACGTTTCAGGCACACTTACAAGCTATGACTGAATCAAAACACCGGCTGAGCCAGATCCCCATTAGCCAGAGAAGGTTAGCCATTTCCACTTCTCTACAGAGATGAGGCCATTTGATCAACCGAGATTCCCAACTTCTGAAGACATTTGCTCCCCAGATTACAAAGTCAGCAGTTAGTTGCTAACTAACTAACTTTTGCACGGTTTATTTTATGCTTTGAAAATTGCCTTGCTTCACGTGCAATACTTCCAAAGTTACATATACTCTCACAGTCTCTTCTCTGCGGATACTGGGTTGTAGTTACTGTCCTTTTCCAAAATAGTTGAATTTTAAAGTAAAACTATACTGTCATTTTATGTCTCTGTGCAAATTGACTTTTGCTGCTCACTACACATGCACACGTGACATGAAAACAGATTAGTTTGAAGGAGATGTTTAGGAAGCTTTATGCAAGATGGCCAAGTAGTCATTGCATATGTGAGGTGTAGAAAGTTCATTGGAAATTAGAGCAGACTTTCTGCACCCCTATCTCTAATTCTTCCCTTGAAAGCTGCCATTCTATTTGAAAATCAAAACAACGCATAACAGAATTGTGCATTTTAACTTTCAAATTAAAAATTAGCAATTACAGAGAAAAGACAAAAAAAACTGGTCCTATACAAAATGTTTGTACAGTGAGATCTATCTCAGAAATGTATCTGAAATATTTTAACCCAGTAAGTTAACATCAAAGCAATACTATTGTCAAATTGTGTGATGTCACAAGCTCTAAACACAAAGTTACAGATATTCATGACATCACACTCATTCATAATTATGCTGCTGCTCAGTCTGACCATATTAAAATTAAACGGATGACTATGTCTGCTCAAAAATTAAAAGAATTTATTCTGGACATCAGACAATGAAACTGTCACCATTTATTGTATGAAACGCTCAGCTAATCAATTTCCTATTAAACACAGCTTTCAACAATAGTCAGCTTTTAAAAAATTCATCGGGGCCAGTAAAAACCTTTTTTCAGTGCACAAGAATGCAGTTCCAACCACGGAGGATAATTACCCTTCTAATACTTTTATTGCCCAAGCACTTTTTCCTGTGTTCCCCATCAGTTAGGCAGGAATCTGCAGTATATTGTATCAGTGAGTTGAAGTGCTTGACCTTTGCCCACATATGATTTAATAGGGACTTTTCAGCGCTGGAGCTTTCTCCAGCTCTCATACCATTAAATGAAAACATCAAACCTCAAATGTAAAACTGGAAACCACAACGTTTTGTGTTTCACAACTCTTAGCAGTTTTTAGTTAGGCTGCTTAAAGGTCAGCTTCTTCCCCTAACAATGTTCTCCCCATACAGTAAATGTACTCAAAAGTCACACTGATTCTGATTTTGATTAAATCTTGAACTCCCCAGTCAGATACACACGTGCACCCTGCTTATTTACACGTGCATTCTTTCCTAACCACATAAGCATGCATGTATGATTTCCTGGATTTATTCCATATTAGGGCTAATTTAAATGTCTGTTCAAGTATAGGTTCAAAAGTTAACTTTTTCCCGCCTGTTGGAAAGTTAAAATTACAAAGAATGGTGCTACAAGATCCGTTCAAAGAAAGTTAGAGCTAATCTTGTGTATTTTGGCGCCCTTTCCCTGCCAGCTACTGTACTTAGGGGGGAGGAGGAGGGAACTTGGAGATCTAGTCTGTCCCGTCTCAAGTTCAATGGCAGTTCTTCTAACCGGAGGAGAAGATGGCCATGTTCACAGCCCTAATAATAATTCCAATCACGCCACTTCGGCATCTTGTGTCAAAGTCGAAACTGGCTTCCCCGCCCCCTTCAACCTGAAAGCTGCCAAGTCCTCACACACTCTGCATTCAACCACAACTTAATGGATGGGATATTGTGCATTAAAATGTGTCCCAGACATGCTGGCGAAGAGAGGACAAGGGAAAAGGGAGACGTGCACACACACACACACACACACACACACACACACTCACTTAGAAGGGAAAAAAATCCTACAGCAAAAGAGCAAAAACAGCAGGGCAGGGGGAGGAAAAAAGTTTTACCAGGAGCGGGAAGAAATCCATCATAATCTTTTTTTTTAAGTGGTGCGGTGGGAGAGGAGGAGGGCTAACAATTCAGTCCTGCCTTGCAATGAACAGAGCTATATAGTACTACTCTCACTTAAAAATGTTTTTTTTAATGAGAACATATAACAAAGCTGTGCGTATTCACCTTAAAATGAAGAATGCCGCAAAAAGGCTACAAGATATAAATGAAGTGTCATCTGTACAGTAACTTTTTCCAAAACGGGGGGAGGATAAAGCATGAAGTTAAAGCCAGGGAAAATGCTACATTTCACCGTTTGGACTCACAACATTATCCATTGATTCCTGCCATAAAAGTAGTAAACATACACTCAAATTGATAAAGCTAAAAAAAACATTACATATTTTCATTAGGTCTAGAAATCCAGTACTATAGTTCAACCAGTAAAGCAAAAATAACACTTAGGTAAAACAGTTTACAAAGTACAAACAGGAAAAAATCTGTCTGAGGTGGAAGAGGGTGCAAGGGACGGACAAAACAAGGAAATAAAACCCATCATTTCAAAGCCACATACCATCGCACTGTATTGCATTAAATAAGAGATCTTGAATCTGTAACAGAACCCTGGGCCGCTGACTTCACGTGTCTCAGGTACGGTTTTGTGGATTTTTCTCAAGGGTTGTTTTGGTGGCGCTTTTTGTGTTTAATTATTTTATAAGGCAATCCGGGAGTAGTCTTTTATTTTTTTTTTAATTATTGTTTCTGTAATGCCACAATTCTTGACCCCAGAAGAAAAGGCGGTAAAAGTCAAGTCTTAAAAGCAGGCAGTCAGTCCCTCAGTCTGTCTGGATCTCCAGTTTTCCTTCCTCTTACTTGCAGAAGACTGTTTTTCTTGGTTAACTTGAAAGCCGTCCAAAGTGTGTGCGTGCGTGCGTGCGTGTTTGCTGGGTTTTATTGTTGTGTTAGCAAGACTGTTCTAGGGGTGGGGGCTGACTCTGCACCCGGGCTCTGGGCAGAGGCAACCGGCGCGCCCGCAGGGTTGCGCATTCGCCCTTCCGCGCCCCTGGATTGGCCTGGTCGGCGGCGGGGCAGCCCCGGAACCGCCACCCACCCGCGCACCCTTTCGGCGCTCGGTCCGCCGCCGCCTCCCTGTCTT